CGACTTCCGGTTGACTTCCACGGAAACGCATATGAGGATGCACATGACTGGCTCGAGGAATTCGAGCACACAGCGAATGTTAACGGTTGGAACACCACACAGAAATTGGGCTACGTTTATTTTCCGCTTCAAGACGGAGCCCGAACATGGTTCACGAATCGCGTGTGGTCGTCTTGGGACGAGTTGCGGCAGAAGTTTCTCGACACGTTCGCGAGCACTGAAAGACGAGAAATCGCACAGTGTCTCCTCGAGTCACGGATTCAGAAACCAAATGAATCCGTTACGATGTTTGTTGAGGACATGGCGCGGCTATTTCGTCGAGCAGATCCCAATATGCCCGAAGCCAAAAAGGTTAGCCACCTCATGCGGGCCATTAAGGAGCAGCTGTTCGCTGGTCTCGTACGAAACCCGCCTACAAGTGTGGATGAATTCTCCAAGGAGGCGACATCTATCGAACGCGCACTGCATCTACGTTATCGCCAGTATGACCGCCCAACCCACAGTGCACCGATCAGCGTGGCAGCCTCTACCACAGCAACAACACCCGACGAAGGTTCTTTGCGCCAACTAATACGAGAAATCGTACAAGAAGAGGTCAAGAAACTAGTCGTCAAACCGAATGACTGTGCGATCTACTAGACGCTGTCTCTGCGCTGGTGACAAATCCGAGCTTACGTCGATAGGTGGTGGGGCTGACGTGGCTTGCGGCTCGTCCTGTTGTACTACACAGCACTCGCGGATTTCGGTGATCTCGTCGAAGTAGGCAACTGTAGTGCCTTGTGTAATGTGTCGTCGCTCGTTGGTAAAATTCGTCAACAGAACCTCTGCTTCACCGCACACAACATTGACGATACTTCTGGCAATTGCAACACCGTGAGAGAGTAGGAGCGTCAATACTTGTTCAGCGATTCCTTCTCCAGTATTCTGCTCGCTGCACGTGACTGAAGCAAGGCGGCACGATAACGCAGGTACGGTCACATCGTCAATGACTCGTAGGGATTTTCGGTGTAGCGCTACGCTTTGATCCGCTGAAAAGGTCAGTACACCGTCCGGAATATTGATGATGGCACCATATTCATGCAAGAAATCCATCCCCAAGATTGCCTGTTTGCAACACTCGGAAAGGATAACAAAAGTTGCGACGAAGGATGCATCCCCTATCTTCATTCTTGCGGTGCACTTTCCGGTAGGTGTGAGTAGCTGCCCTCCAGCTCCTCTAATCTGCGGTCCTGTCCATTCTATTCTAACCTTCCTGAGCGTGTCTGCCAGACTCTCACTCATTATTGAGAAGTCCGCGCCAGTGTCGACCAATGCCATGACGTCATGTCCGTCAATCGTAATTGCAACTGCGGCAGTAACAACTTCATCTTTCGTCGATTCATTGAAAATGTATCTCTCTTGGCTCGGCAGTAATGGGGGATTTTCAGCACTTCGACGATTCGCAACCTTCCCCCCTGAGGTCGCTGCTTTTAGTTTCCCCGGCGTGGACTAGGAGGTCTCCCTCTTAGCATGTCAGTGGTGCTCCGTCTAGAGGATGGAGAATAACGCCCAGGAGAGGGTGAGCGTGACCGAAACCCAGGAGGAAAATCCCGCGGGGTCATGACACTCGTGTCGACGTCGGGTGTTCCGTTGAAATGGCGCCGAGGAACCGTAGAAGGAAACCCTTGGTACCCTGCGGCGCGATATGGGCAATACCGAACGATGTGGCCTGCTTCCCCATAGCGAAAGCACAGGGGCCTATGATCAGGGGTACGCCAGATGTCAGTCTTGCGAAGTGGTGGCCGTCTCGACATCGAAGTTTCTCTGTAGTACCAAGGCGCTGTCGGCGGATGTTGCTGGTGGTACTGATGTGGTGTCGGCACGTTCGCTGGCTGTTGGCGGACTACGTCTGCATAGCTTGCCCTGGGAGTGCTCATGTTCGGCTCGGGAAGCGAGAGCGCTTGCCTGATCTCCTGGCGTACAACTTCCGTTACTGAAAAATTGCTGAAGAAGTATTTTGGCCCCTACACAGTTTTACAACGCCTGAGCGACGTTAATTACGTGGTCGTTCCTGACAACCCCTCGACAACTCGCCAGCAAAAACCAGAAATCGTGCACGTTGTGCGAATGAAGCCCTACTTTTTGAACTGATTTACACCATACATCTACTACACCGTATTTTGTAGAAGAGCATCGGGACGCTGCTCTCTGGAGGGGGGCAAATGCCGCATTGAATATGCAGCACCAAGAGAACAACGAAGAACACGCGCAGCGAGAGAAGAAGACGAGGTTCTCTTCCGATCAGTTTGCCAGTGTTCTGGTACAATTAAAGTGAGTTTCCTGGATTCGACTGCTGCTGTTTCTGCATTGTGACAATACGTCAACCGAACATCGCTGAGTGGTGGCCACACAAAGGAGCGGCTGCATCTATATCCAATGAGGTTCGATCACTTGTTCGATATTGATTATGTAATTCACTTCATTGATGGGGCTTGCTAGTACTTGTCTCATCACTGTTATCACCGTGGTTTCTGCTCAAAAGTGGTGGCACCAACAAGAGTAACTTTAAATGATCTAGTAATGCACTAAGACCTCTATAATTTGTACCCGCCAGGAATGCGGCATGATCATGCCACTTAAAGCACTTAAAGTACCCATCGAAAGCTCTTTTCTTTCTTTTCGTCGAAGTGCGAAAAGATACTGGACGATTGTTCGATAGCATGCAGTGGCGAAGCAGCATTTCGAAACTATTACAGGGTCCGGGATACGCAGCGACTGAGATAGCAACTGAACAGATCGGCTTTCCGCGATACATATGTGCGCTTCTCTGCCGCGATCTGATATTAAGCAACAACCGATAGTTTCATTGAAACACTAGTGGTTGCGTGCACTCGATCATATCCTGGTTAGTTGCATGCCGCGCGACACCTATGCTGCCCACGCCATCGCTGCTGGTTGGCTTGCAGTAGCGTGGGCACGGATTTACCCTGTGAATTGCTGGTCCCCACTTCGCTCCAGACTGAGCACAGAGGAGCAGAGTAGCTTGTTTAGTTAGGGTGGGGATAACAAACTTTTGTCAAACGAAGTGCACAGTGAATATCTAGTCGTCATGAAAACAAAAGATAAGCATCGCTTATTCCTTGTTTCCTCCGAGTTATTTCTCTGCCAGTTGTGATGTTTAATGATGAAAGTACAGACACGTGCACACATACACAGATACACACACATTTGTGGATAGTAAGTCTGGTCAGCTCAAGGGTAATAAATGTTTAGTGAAAACCTTAGGAAACTTTTACCTGAAATAGTTTCGATTGAAAGTAATGTTTGACACTAGAAATATGCTTCAAAGCTAACTTGCATTGCACCGAAACACATTTTTTTGTGCTTCGAACCTGCTCCAGTACTCCCATTTTACGGTGCTGAAGCTGCTACAAAACAGCATTATTCCTGCTCCCTGAGCAGCTCCAAAAGATGAAAGTCCGCTTCCACCACTGTGTGGGTTATCTGATTTAGTTCACATTTCACACACGTAGGTAAATCCACCCGCGATGTATTTATTTCTACACGTATGACTTCTTTTGGTGTCTCCTGCAAATATGTGTGCTTACTGTCAAATTTCGAGCAAGTGTCTCTCTGGTGAAAGATAATCCTCGGACAAGATTTGGGGGGGGGGGGGGGGGGGGCATATTGTTTATTGAGCAAAAGATGGCAAAAGAACAGCCACTGAAAATTTAAAAAAATGCACACCGATGGTTATAATGAAATGCTTGGAGGACGCATGTATTCACTGCTTCCAAAGTAGTGAATAGGCACTTTTAGTTTGTTCTTAACTTTTTATACAGTGTTAACAGAATACTTGATTGTGTTTAAAGTGTTGCCAGAATGCATGTTTTAGAAGAAACGTTTTAGCTCCACGTACATAAGACTTTGCATACTTATTTAAATGCATAGCTTTATGTATGTACAAACGACTAAACGGTCATGACAACTACATTGAAACTATATTTGATTTGTGTAAGATTTAATCATCACTGTGGAGAGATGTTTAGCATGTATAGTACCCTGATATATGCAAAGGTGGTCAAAAATAATGGGTTACCAGGGACGATGGTGTTGACATCTTTTGACACTTCGTGCAAGCACGGTCATGGACACTTTTGTTCATGCCTCGTCTTTGTACGGGAAAAATTGTGAAAGGGGTGACTCATTTGTAATTATGCCGCTGCAAGGTATTTACATATGAACTAGAATGAACAATGTGTCTGCAACGACAATATTGTGCTTGCTTGGTTCGTTTTGACCGTGCCAGATGGAGCCACCTATCCATCCTCTCAGACAAGAAGGGGGGCGTTAAGCTCGACTTTTAAGCCTTCGGCATTCTAAGTCGCTCTAGCTTCGATAAGCCAGCTGAAGCAAGATGATTGCTATGAGCACTCGCACTTCAGCCTATTTTGACTCTGTGACTGGAGTTTTCCTAAAACATCGGGTGCAGCTACGAACGATGAGGGACTTGCAAGATAGGGCTGTTAACGTAAAGCCTATTGGGCGCATGATTCATGTTCCGTAAAAAAATTACTTTCTGGGAAGGCCCGTGCATGTGCAAATGTTTTTCTAGCATAGAAAGGTGACACGAGGAACATCCTCGTGTCACCTTTCTTCGTCCTGTCTGCACCGTTTTGTTTAACGTAATGAGGTATTACACATGCTAAAAGCCCCTAATTAAGCCGTAAAAATGGTGGGAAGTCATGGGTGCTTACTCTGTCATGGGCGCACATGAAAAATCTCACTCAAAAAAAAAGGAAGGGCGTTTGCTTTGGGGAAGTGCTTGCTTGGAATTTTACAGTAAGTGCATCCTACAATGTCTAAACAGGCCATACTGTCTTGCTGCTGTGGGATGGCAGATATAGTGTGCATGTGTATTTGCTTGTATGCATGTGTGTTTCTATTCATTCGGTATAACTTGCATGAGCATTGTTGTAGGTGAATACAATTTGTGTTACGTTTTCTTTTGTTCTTACAAGATGATGAAAAGGAGCGGGATGCAATGCAACGGCTTGCGCATGATATCGCTGTCAACGAAGAGGATTTCCTTGATGTGTCTCTCGATGAAGAGTTTTCCTATCTCAAGGAATATGAGGCAAAGCTAGCAAGCTTGGGCCATTGAATGTTCCTGATGCCGCAGCTAGGACTATTGTGCCAATGCATGGATTCAAATTGATCGCCATGTGAATATACATTCCTGCTGCTGCCATTTAAGTTCTGTTGTGTGAATGCGTGGAGAGGAGTATGCATCAAAATTTTGCTCTACTACCTGTCGTGTGACGCAATACATTAAAACCCATTTTTATATGGCACTACCTCAGCTTCGATAATTCAGAACTGTGTCATCTGTTCATTTATACAGAGGGACAAGAGTGTGAAATGTATTTTTATATTGTCTTTTCAGGACAGTCTTTTGTATTAGTGTAATATCTGAATTGCATTAAGCACAAATGTCGTGTTCTCTTTCTGGTAAATCTGATTTTACATTGATGCCATTACAGAAATGTGTTCATAACTGCCAATTTTTATAGTGCCATAGATTTTTAAAGCCCAAGCTTCTGCGTTGCATGCCAATCATGGCCCTGTGCTTCGCCGATTCTTACGGTGGGTGTGACTCATCACTGCACTGCCATATTGTGCTACAAGTTGCATGTTGAGTGTTTTTTCACGGTCATGAAACAATGCTCAGGTGTGACGGAAGAGACATGCTTGCAAGTAATTTTCACCAAGGAGTATTTTGTTTTGGACAAGCTTGCAACTAACTTTCCATAATTTAAGCAATCTGAAAAGACTTAGTGAGGCACTTGTTGCGAAAGCCCTTTAGATTTTCATACATTTCTGGCTGAATTTTGTTGCACATACTTGTACCTGAGGTTTTAGTGTTTACATTGGACATGTTGATTTCTTTTTTTAATTTGGTGCCCATTTTTATTTATATCAACTTCACTCAGTTTACTTGAGTGCAAATTTTCTGTGATACTGTTTTGTTAGTGTGCCATGTCCAGCATTGTATTGTGTAACTACAACTTGATGAAACGGGTTAGAATGGTAGCTTGGGCTGCTTGGTGATTGAATATTTGCATGTTTGCTCAGCACAAACAGATGGAGGACCTTGAAGAGGACGCACCACAGACACTGTAACTGTCCTCTCCTCTGTCTTAATTTCATTTGAACTATGCAAGCATGTCGATAATTGACATTCTGTAGGGTGGGAACATGTCACAGCAATGTCTTGTGCACATACCTTTTCTAATAGACAGGCAAACAACTAGTGCCTCAAATTTTATGGTGTGACACATACATATCAAAGGTTTTTACAAATATAGTGACAATTGTTAGTGTTGCTTCTGTGTGCATGTGGACCTGTCATCTTCCTTCTTTTCATGCTGGTCAGCGTTAAATGTTGGTCTCCTTTTTTGTCCATTGTGACATGTTACCAAAGCACATGTTTATGTGATACTGTTTTACCTGAAAGCATCTCACATATAATGTAAAAAATTCATTCCACTCATTGTCTACATGTTTGTTTTTTACTTGGTTTTAGATTTGTTGCCACTGTTTATGTGAACTTTAATGTAGTCTCATAATTCATATTTTAGCCATGTTTTTCATATGCCATCAGAAATGTATGGTTACCATCCATGATGTCATGTTCTTGAAAGACTATAAAGTGGCATTTCTGAAATGCTTTTCATATTTGCAAAAAATAAATAATGGCAGCTTCGCAAATAGTAGAGCTGTGTAACTTTCTTTATTTAATGGCAGCTTCGCAAATAGTAGAGCTGTGTAACTTTCTTTATTTTTCCTTTTTTCCTCTTATTTCTTTCTTTCTGTGGCTTGTATACATTTTTTTATCTTTTTCTATTTATTTAGCTATTTTCATGTTTCTCACTTTTTTGTACATAATTTTCTTTCTAAACCTCTCACCCTCTCTGTTTATCACTTCCTCTTTTCTCTCTGCTGCTGTCTTTAGTTGGGCACTCTGTTTTCTTTTTCCGTGTCTGTTTCTATCTCTGATTAGATTTAGGGGCACAATAAAGAAGCCCAGGTGGTCGAAATTTCCGTAGCCCTCCGCTGCGGAGTCTCATGATCATATCGTTGTTTTTGGGACGCTAAACCTGGACAATTATATCTATCTCTTAATGTCTTCCCTCCCCTCTATTTCCCTCAACTTTTCTCTTCGTGGAGCAAAGTGTTCGTTTTAATGCACACACCTGCAGCACTCGGTAGTGGGGCTTGCCCAGTTGCCATGGCACATATTCACTTGTTGAGTTGAGCACGACGAAGCACGAGCAACTTTGCTGTTAAAAGAGCACTTCAACTCATTGCATTCGTCTGTGGCTAAAATAATGAAGGCCTCTTATGAGTCTAAGAATAGTAACAGTACTGACTATAGTGAGAGTTGGTTGTGACTAGAGATGCAAAAAAAAAAAAAAACTGCGAAAAAGGGGCGGAACAAAGCGAGAAAATTGTGGGAAAACACCTTTTTTTCGCGCAGTTGAAAAATCGGCCAAAATTTTCATGGGGTGAAACCAAGCGAAATAAAGCTTAGTCAACAACACCCAGCGTTGAACGGGAAAACCAAAACGTCCCACATGCTACCAAAACGCCAAATGACGGCTCACCACTCGTGTGGTCATGTTGGGGGTGGTTTATGATGTTTTGGTGCCCGTTATTTTACCCGTTAGTTTTCCTCGTACACTTGTGCGATCTACGGCGGACGTCTGTTTATAAAGCAATGTGCAAGCAGATTCTGCAATGGTTGGGCTAATTTCTGATGTGAATGTACTTCACGGTCGAAAAGACTGGTAACGGGGACCCGCTGTCTGTAAACAGTGCAACAGCAGCTACGTTTTTCCCAATGCGATACCTTAACACGATGAAGAAAGCTACAGATGAAGCCAGTGATAGTGACTGACTAACAGTTTGGACTTCATCTTTTTACCATCGTAATGTTTCCATAGTCGAAGTCATGACGAAATAGACGTTTTTGGGTTCTTTTTTCTATCTGCCGTAACAGTCCTAAGAGGGGGTGCGACCGCTGCGCCAATTCGATACAATTCCCCTTTTGTTCCCGCCGAGCTGCGCCAAAACCATTATAATTGCGCCACGCTGCGCCAAATGGTCCGTACTGCCTCAAAATTTTCTTATTTGAGCGATAATTTGAGCGATAAATGGAGGATTGGCCACCCGCAGTTAGCGTCATAAAATCAGTCCAAGCGCGCTGACCCCAACTCCCTGACCCTAAAGCACCGTGAAAGATGTGTACTCATTAGGTCAGGACACTCGTGAGATGTGATCTACCTAATAAATTAACAACGCCACGTGGCCATCGGTCCACTGACTGTAGCGGATACCGATCGGCGGGACGACCAATGTAAAGCCATAAATGCGTTGCCGTATCCCACAACGCCTCATGGGAAACATATATTTCCTAGTCAGCAAACGCGGCTATGGCACTTTACACGAGCGAAGGCTGGAAGCGTATTCTGCTATTTCTGCACGCGAGCAAACTCGACGTGCTGCGAACGTTACCGGGGGCCGCGTTGGTTACCAAAGAAAAGGCACGTAAAACTTTTTTTCTGCCTCGTGAAGGTGCGTCGTCTCCGCGATTGATAACCGGTGCCTTCACGGGCCAACGGTTGCGTGCCGTTGTTATCTCGTCGGACGCGCCTTTCAAGCGAGTCGAGAAGTTGATTCCTGACCGAAAAAAAAAAGGGGGGGGGGGGGGGGGGAGGTAGTGTCGCGGTTGGAAATTTTCTTGGCCTTGTTTTTAGCCGTGCAAAACGCTGCGTAAGTCACCTTTGCCGCAGTACACCGCTGCCTTGCGGAAAAGCATATTCAGGTTTGAAAGGGGCAGTTAGCCTAAGTCGCGGAACACAGCACTTCTTTTTTTTTTCGATGACGTATGCGTGTATACGCTGCATAGTTATTAGTACGAGTATTATCGATCAGGTCTAAAAAGGTTATTGGCAATCATTTGGAGCAGTGTATGACATTTAGAACCTTAGCAACGTTTAACGCTAGAGCCTTTAGTGAGGCAAGTCTAGCTGTACTATTCAAGGAACTAGAGGGTGCTGAATGGGATGTAATTGGGCTCAGTGAGGTTAGGAGGACAGATGAAGCCTATACATTGCTACAGAATGGGCACGTCCTTTGCTATCGTGGCTTGGCTGACAGAAGAGAACTCGGTGTCGGGTTGCTTATCAACAGAAATATACCGGGTAACATAGAGGAATACTATGGCATTAATGAAATGGTGGTAGATGTTGTAATTAAACTCAATAAGAGATACAAGATGAAGGTGGTACAGGCTTACGCACATATACCCAGCCATGATGACGCGCTAGTTGAAAGCTTCTATGAGGACGTGGAATCGGCAAGGAGTAAGGTAAAAACACTCACGGGCGACTTCAATGCTAAGGTAGTCAAGAAGCGGGCTGGAGACCAGGCAGTAGGAGACTATGGTATCGGTACTAGAAATGCCAGACAGGAGTTATTAGTAGAATTCGCAGAACGCAATTATTTACGGATTTTTAATACCTTCTACAGAAAACGAGTGAACTGTAAGGGGACATGGAGGAGCCCAAATGGTGAAAGTAAGAACCAAATATACTTTATACTGAGTGCACACACAGACATCGTCCAGGGTGTAGAAGTGCTTGGCAAGGTACGATGCAGTGACCATATAAGGGTAAGGTCTCAAATTCGCCTAGACTTGAAAAAGGAATGGCAGAAACTCGTACGCAAGAAGGCAATGAATGAGCTAGCACTGAGAGGGAAAGTACAGGAATTCAGGGTCTCGCTTCAGAACAGCTACCCGGCTCTTATCGAGGAAACTAACCTTAGCGTTGGCGCAATAAATGATAATATGACGAGCATTACGGAGTGTGCAGTAGAAGTTGGAGGTATGGTAGTTAGGACACTGGCAAGTTGTTCCAGGAGACGAAGAATCTCATTAAAGGCCCACTGCAACGAAATTTGACACTCAGTAAAACGTCAGTATGGCAGTCTACCGTTCTTCCATCTTTCCTGTCTCTCCTATCCCCTCAGTTTGTTGTTGCTTCTTCTTCCTCTTTCCTATACCTTTACTTCTACCCTTTTATCCCTCCTTACCCCCATCCCTTTGTGAGCTCTGTGGCGGTGTCGCTCACTGAAGCAGACAATAACGGGGCTCACTTTTCTCTTCCTTTCTCTCAAGAACCACTTCAGCTAGAGGTTGTGCTGCCTGCCAAATGGCGACTTCGAAATACAAGTGCTAACCTAAGAAAAAAAAACTTGCAAACGACGTTGTTTTTGAGACCGAAACTAGAAAAAATGACGCCATTAAGGCTGACTACAAGTAACGTCAACGACAGAAAAAAATGGCCCGGTATCTGCATGTTAATGTGCAAATTTCGTCTAAAGACGATTGCGTGTGGAGAGATTGAACAAAACATTTATTTGACGTTCTGCGTAAGAAAATCGCTGAATGTTATTCTGGAGACGCTGCGTTAGAGTGCCTCGTGCGTGCAGTGGAGGCGAACGGGCGCATCAAGTCACGTCACACGTGACACTTGGCTGCCATCTGGCAGTTTCCTGGGAAAACGAAGCGCGTGGCTCTGAAACGGGTGTGCGTGCCCGTCACAGAGGTGATAAGGTCTAGAACGCGAGGTGACGGGTAGGTGCCACCACCGTCTCGTCTTAGCAAAGCGTTGGAAACACTCGCCTTTTCGCGCAAGCGTTGCATGGCAGCGTGATAAGCGCTACGGTCCTTCAAATTACTTATGTATGCCTTTTCTAGTAAAATACGCACATGCAGAATATATACGTGTTGTTACGATGCCCCAGACATGCGCAATACTTGTTTTTTAATTGACAATTGCACAAGTAGGAATGCTAAATCTTGAGCAACATTGGTGGGTGCTGCGGATGGGGTCAGCCGTTTCAAGTACCCGATGCTGTTAAGAGTGGATAAACAGACAAATGTATGGACAGACTGACAGACAGACCAAAATTTTTGCGTTGAAGGTCCCCAAGAAAGACAGGCCGATTACAGGCCGATCAGCTTGCTCTCCAGAAGCTATTTACAAAGGTAATTTCTGACAGAATTAAGACAATAGAATTAGTCAACCAAAGGAAAAAACAGGATGTCTAACAGGCTACTGAACAATCGACCCCATTCATACTATCAATCAGGTAATAGAGAATGCTCAGAATACACCCAACTACTTTACATAGCCTTCATAGATTACGAGAAGGCATTTGATTCAGTAGAGATATCAGCATTCATGCAGACACTGCGGAATCAGGGCGTCGACGAAGCATATATAAACACCCTGGAAGAAATCTACGGAGAATCAACTGCCACTATAGTGCTCCATAAAGAAAGCAACAGAATACCAATCAAGAAGGGTGTAAGGCAGGGGGATACAATCTCCCCAATGCTATTTACCGCGTGCTTACAGGAGGCTTTCAGAGGCCTAGAATGGGAACAGTTAGGCACAAGAGTTAATGGAGAGTACCTTAGAAACCTGCGCTTCGCGGATGACATTACATTGCTGAGCAACTCAATGGACGAATCGCAACTCACGATTACTGAATTAGACAAGAAGAGTAGAAATGTAGGTCTTAAAATTAATCTGCAGAAAACGAAAGTAATGTACAACCTCGGAGGAGAACAAGGCTTCGAGATAAGTAATAGTGCGCTTGAAGTTGAAGAAGACTACATCTCCTTAGGACAGGTAATAACCAC